AGTTTAAACGCTAACCCTAACATAAAAGAACTTAAACAATTTTATCGATCATCACGTGATCGCAAAAATTTTGTTGGCGCACCTGGGGAAGATTGGGAAATGGACAAACTTCCCTTAATAACAGTAAAAAAAAAAAGGACCAAATCAACCAATTTTTTCAAAAAATTTTTTCACAACCCGGCCGGGTCAACTTGTAAGATCGGCCTGGTCTGTTTAAAAATTTCATATTATGAAAACCAATATTTAAGGAATAAATGCTATTCTTTTAAGGAAGTTTTACAGTATAGGTTTTTATTATTAATTTGGAATTTTGCTTAATTTTGATTGGTCGATATTTTTTATTATGAACTTTTATTAATAAAATTTGGCGTCTTTACTAAAAAGTGGATATCTTATACTGTCCCGTACTGTACAAAAAATGGCAAGTTTTTGGGATTTCAAGTCCCATTTGCTCAAAGAGTTTAATTTACACGTAATTATACGCGTTTTTTAGGGAAAACCCAAAAAATCTTCAGAAGAAGTACACCAGGAAGGTAGATATATGCAACACCTTTACAAGATACAAATGCACCTCCGTTCCCTGCGAAATTTCTCGAGATACTGAATCACCAATCCCTTTAGAATCCAAAAATATTACCCTTGCCCCGATAGTCCGAGTTGTTTCTCAAAAAACCGTCGACAAACATTGGAAGCCTTTAAGCGAAAAATCTAGACAAAACTTTCGTGACATTTTAAGCAGTACAATTCCGTAAGATTCTTTTTAACAATAAATTTTTTGGTCTTGAATGTGTAAAATCAAATTTACCCTAATTCTTTTATAATCAGAGTCGTAATTAATGGCGTTCGTGGAAAAAAAAAGGCGGAGCTACAAAGATTATTGGATGAATTAATTTCAAAGTAAAACATAGAATCATTTCATTAAAATTCAACAATTCTTTCGTCATTTTGGCTTACTATTTTCTAACCGTAACCGTGTAAAGAATTGACCAAAAGCTAGAGACGATCCCAGTACCCAAATACTCTAAGAAAGCAAGTTTCGATTACAACAAGATTCATTCTCAAAATGTAGGATCTTTTTCCATAAAAAATATATAAATGCATAACTCTATTAAAAAGTCATTTAATCGAATAGCAAGCATTGGAGATGGCGTTAGCCAATGAATTAGAGCAGATAGGTCAAATGGAGATTAAACTAGAACACGAGACATTGTGAGCAATTGTCTAATTTTTAATAAATGGGTGAGTCAATAGAAATCAAGCAAATTTTTATAATAAGATTTTTTAAATTAATTTTATAAACTATAGAATTAATTTAGAAAAAATTTTTATTGCTTAAAATTTTAAAAAAATTTACTAAAAAAATTTTGCTTGATTTTTATCGACTCACCCCAAATACAATATTTCATATTCAGTACTATTTACATTTATTTATTTGTTTTACAAGACTTCTAGAAGAAGACACGAAAACATTAGCAAAGCTCAAAAGCGATAAAAAAGCCGTTGAAACTAGAAATAAAATGCTTCATAGGACAAAAGTAAGGTTCAAATGTGTGCGAACATATAAAATCTCAATCGTGTTATTTTGTGACACATCCCGAATTAAACTTAATTTGAGCCGTAACAAAAAATAACGTTCATGGCCACCATTTATGTCAGATATATTAGATTAATTATTTTTGTTGCCAATTACATTAGCTTCACCCGCTTTTAAAGAATGAATTTAAAGATGTTATCGAAGTAGATGATGAATTGATTAAAAAACATCTTAAACCGTTAAAAGATCGATCATCGTTACTTTGGGATGTGAGTACTTTTGACACTTTTATATTATCTCAGTTATAAAGTTTTTTAACAATTTGAATTTACGATTTTTTTTTTTAATATGCCTAGCCCGAACAAGATCACGAACTTTGTGAAGTCAAAAAGTCAATTTCTTCTCATTTACTGTCGATTGAAAAAAATACAAAGGTGATGGATAATATAATGAGTAAAGTCGAAGAGACAGAAAAAATTTTGATACAACTGATGAAGAAAGCTAAAGATGATGATCAATTAGTCGATAAGTAATCGATTATTAAGTAGTCGTACCTCACACCATTCATCACTCGTATTATATTTTAAATGCGAATAACTTTTATGCTCAGACTAATCGAATAAATATTCATTAAATAGTTTGAAGAATTTCTACAAAATAACAACATTACTACATTTTGGAGAGTTAAAATATTATTGCTTAATTGCAGCGTAATGATTTTCTTTCTTTTTATATATAAAGGGTTGCTTGTATAACGTTTGCTTTCGCTCGCTTTAACCATTTAATGCTTTACGATTCGTGCTAAGTCTGGCTGTAATGTATATCAAGTTCACCTGGAATCGTAACACCATCTAATGATTACGATTCAAGCTAAACACAGCAATAAGTCACTATGATGCATAGCCAATTATTTATGTTTCTCGATGTTTAATACTGTATATTGAAGTATGTTAAAGGCTGGTTATTTAAAATCGTGATTCTTTTATGGTGTAAGCACCCTAAGAATCTAGAGTCGCTACTTCTTAACGAATATCGAATAAGCGTAAAAATTCATAACAGAACAAAATTTTTTTCGTAAATTTCTACCTCAAATAAAGGACGGTTAAAGTTTAACACCCGGAAGTCCTAATGAAATGTCTCTAACAATTTCACCTCAATTAGTAAATGACTATGTGGTTACTCAAAACCTTTGTTATAGCCGCGACGATAATTTCGGATTAAAATTTTTGTGAATAACGATAATGACGATTTTTGTCAAAAGATTTGCGCATAAATTTTTTAACGTTAGTTATTCTAGAAGTCGCTCATAAATTTTTCAAGCATTTTATTTATCTTGTTTATCCTGTACATCATGTATATTACCTACTGAATTAGCGATTTAGCGATTTGTGATTTGTATGGATATCTAACTAAATTATAGTATTATGACTTATAACTTTTTTTTTTTTTTTTTTTTGATAGACCAGAGAAAACCTTCAAAAGGCGACTAGGAGTGTCTCCTAGACAGTGTGAGATTTTTACTCACTAAAAACTCTGGTGTTAATCATCATCGATATTCAAAAAAGAATATCTCAGCGGCGGGTGTAAATGTTTCATTGTTTTTTACAACCTGGCTTGTAAAAAACGAAACATTATGATTTGGCCCTGGGAGGATTAAAACCTCTCGCTTACACCAACCAGGGCAAGGGACCTCGCCAGGAGGGGTGTGTCTGCAATCTTACTTACCACAGCACCGCAGACAAGCTTACCATAGCGCCGATAGGCAAACCCACCCTTGGCACCGTAGTGAAATAAGACCAGACAATTTTAACTACTTACCTCTTTGAAGAGAACCTGAAGGAACCCTTCAGAAACGAAAAGGTTAAATAGGTGTAGCAACTGAACACAAATGTATAAAGAATGAAACACTTATCTTAAAGTTAACCGCGTTAGACAAAGACTTGGGTAAAAAAACGCGTCTAAAAAAACGTCTACTCGTAAAAAAAATATAAATAAACCGAGTAAAAAAAACTATATTTACAAGTAAATAAAGTATATAGACGAGTAAAATACATAAACGTGTAAATAAATATAAACGAGTAAAAAAATTATAAAGGAAAAAAAAAATGATAAAGAAAAAAAAGAAGAGACAAAACGCACGGTACAAGGAAGAAAGTGTAAAAAAAACTATTTTTGATTATATATTAATATTTTGATTAATAATAATACGACAGGGTCATAGGACGACATTCGTCTGATTGGTTAATTTTTGTAGATCTACCCGTGAATTCCCGTGATAATTAGAATCAAAATAAAAAGATTTATTGTTTTAATACTACTAAAAAACGAAAAGAACTTCACGTAAAGAAGCCTATAAACTAATAAATGCATGCAAAAAAGAATTTGTAACATTTCAGAAATAGATAGATAACGCGTAAATCGATATTTATTACTACAGTAATAAACCCAAGTTCAA